AGCGCTTGGCCGAAAGAGATGCCAGACCGCATAAACTCACCTGCAGAACATAGGCACGTACATGTTACGACACAACGTAGCCAGTGGAAGAAAGTAGAGCCGCACATGCAGGAGAAGAGTAAGGTAGAGGCGAAGGAGGAGCACCACACCCATACGCAGGGAAAACCTCGCATCCTCCCAATAGCAGCAATCCAGAATGCCCCAAGAGCTACGGGGCAGACTGGAGAATTGAGAAGAGCAAGAGGCGAAGCACCCGAGAGAAATGGGACGCAAAACCCCAGCACAAGTGCACACCGCCCATATCAAAACAAACAACCATGGCGCATGCACAGCAGGAATGCCAGATATCAGTCGCCAGAAGTCGCGAGCTGAAGAGGAAACCACGAATATGACTAGAAAAATAGACAAAATAGTGTTGTTAATGACCGAATCACATATGAGAGTACACAGAGCAGCCACCAACCGTAGTCGAAAAGAGCAGGAAGGAGCGAAAAGAAACATAGCACAGCTTCCCATTTGGGCTATAAGGAGCCCAATCTGGCAACCCTGTGCAGCGCAGGACAGTGCACGGAGAGAAGAGACAAGCACGAAAGAACGAAACAGGACCGAAAACTGAGAAGCTTGGAGAAGGACCAACAAGCCCCAGAAAGGACCGGTAGATGACAGATGTTCCAAGAATACGGGAAGAATCAAAACCTTCCCGATCCTTCAAGAACATAAAGAAGCAAGCGTGAAGCACGAAGGCACGGAAGGCAAAGTCGCACCTGAAACCAAAAATCATGCAGATCCCCGAGAAGAGGGGAACATGACTGTGAAGGCCTGTCCCAAGAAGAAGGGTGGAGAAACGGACTCACTGGCAGGACGGACCCGACAGATCCAAGGGACAAGGAACCGATCTCGGGGATGGGCCAACCTCCAAAAACATGTACGGAGAGGGGGGGGGAGAGAAAAAATCCCACTCCTCGTAACCGCAAGCCCTGCTCCGAGGGTAGAAAAACCCAGGCGGGGTCCAAACATCAGCCCCTAACCAGCCCCGAGAACCCACCAGGCAGGTCCTGGGGTTGAGATGTTCCCCCAAAGCCCCAGCCTCACAAGAAAAAGCCCGGGCAACCGGACAAATACTAAAGAAGGGAGCCCACTGACAGACTCATACAACACGGCTGGAGGAACAGGCTCAAATGCCTCCATCGCTACCCCGGAAGAGGGAAATCCCCAAGACCGCCCAAGTCTCAAGACCAGCGAAGCCCCGCCCTGACCCTGAACCCACAAATGGTAAGGATCTGGATGCAGGGAGGAAGAGAGGGGGGGGGGGGGAGGACCATAACAGAGGAAAGACTTGGGGAGGCGGAAGGAACAAAACTGAAGCGTCCAACACCCCCAAGCCCCGTCACACTAATCAATATGGGGCAGCCCCGGGGCTCCCGGGGAGCAAACGACCTAGCGTGTTGCACCACCGAAACTCAACTTGCAACATCCGTGAAACATCCTGAGAAAGGGCAGGGGCGTTTGAGCACGCGTCGAGGTGCTCAAATTCGCCCCCAAGGAAAACCTGGACCACTGTATGAGCCTTACGCCACTCAAGTGCACGGGACCGACAGAACATATGCCACGCCATTTGCCACATATGCCATTTGCAAGAAAAATGACAGGTTGGATAACAAGAACTTTTCACACTAGAGATGCTATACCGATGATACTTTTCAAAACGCTAGTGCTCTCTAGAGTGGAGTACTGCTGCACAATGACAGCCCCTATCAAAGCTGGAGAAATTGCTGACTTGAAGAGCGTGCAGAGATCCTTTACTACTAGAATCCACTCAGTAAAACATCAAAACTACTGGGACCGACTAAAGAGCCTAAATCTGTATTCCCTTGAGTGCAGGCGGGAGAGATACATAATAATTTACACGTGTAAAATAGTAGAGGGGATGGTTCCAAACCTGCACACAGAAATAACATCACATGAGACCAGGAGGCATGGCAGGATGTGCAGAATACAGTACCCTCATTGAAAAGCAGAGGTGCAACAGGTACTCTGAGAGAGAACTATCAACATCAGAGCGCCTGAGACTGTTCAACACACTTCCACTACACATAAGGGGCATAACTGGCCGACCCCTCACAGTGTTCAAGAGAGAACTTGATAAACACTTCCAAAGAATACCAGATCAACCAGGCTGTGACTCGTACGTCAGGCTGCGAGCAGCCGTGTCCAACAGCCTGGTTGACCAGTCCAGCAACCAGGAGGCCTGGTCAATGACCAGGCCGCGGAGACGCTAAGCCCCGGAAGCACCTCAAGGTAACCTGAATGTAACTCCAACAAGAAAAAGGGGTAGTCTGCAAGCCAGGGCGACTCCGGGAAAGAACCCAGTAAGGAAAAAGGATGATTCAAACACCAAAGAAGAAAGATTCATTATGGAGGCGTAATCTGAGTCTCACAGGAGGTAAGCCGCAATGGCCTCAAACACCACACCAGGGCGCCTGACAGCTGAGTGGACAGCGCTTCGGATTCATATTCCTGAGGTTCTGGGTTCGATCCCCAGTGGAGGCGGAGACAAATGGGCAAAATGTTTCTTTCACCCTGATACTCCTGTTACCTAGCAGTAAATAGGTACCTGGGAGTTAGACAGCTGTTACGGGCTGCTTCCTGGGGGGTGTGTAACAAAAAGGAGGCCTGGTCGAGGACTAGGCCACGGGGAAGCTAAGCCCCGAAATCATCTCAAGACAACCTCAAGATAACCACATAAGGCAGGATGAGGGAGGCCATAAACCTCCGAAAGGACAAGACCGAAGAACCCAAGGGAGCACAGAACCGAACCCAGGGAGGGATTGACGCCAAATCTAACTCATACAAGGAGGGAGAAAAAGAAAACCCCCACACCTTGTAACAGCAAGCCCCGCTCAGGGGGTACTAAAACCCAAGCGGGGTCCAATGGAGCCCAAGGCCCCCAAGTCAACCCCCTCCCCCACCTGGGAACCTCCCTATGAGAACCCAGGGCCGAGCCGTTCTCCAAGTCCCCCTGTCTCAAAAGAAAAGGCAGGAGCCGCCGTAAAATCAGGAACGAAGGGGGCCCACTGGTCAGACCCAGAAGCTCCAGCTAGAGGAATATGCTCGAATACCTACGTCGCCACACTGGAAGGGGCATCCCCCGAAACTGCCCGAGTCATAACACCAACTAAACCCTGCCCCAACTCCGAAAACCTCAGACCCTTCGGAACCGGAAGCAGGGTGGAAGGACAAGGACGAACAACAGAAGGGGAAAGGATAAAGGGGCGCAGACTGAACCAAGGTCAAAGTGACCAACACCCCCAAGTCCAGGTCCCTATAACCAAAGCAGGGCAGTCTTGGGGCATCCGGGGGTAGCAACCAACCGAGCATGTAACGCCGAAGCTGCCTGCACCTGAATATCACGATCAGTGGACTGGGTGTATTGGAGTACAAACAAGGAACAAAACTCGCAGGACTTCGGGTCGAAGGTGTCACAGACCCAACAGGCAGCATGACGGAGGCACAACCGGTGAGTGTCACCCCGAGACAAGGGGATAGAACATCCTTCAAACTCGCACGAAGCGAGAGGGGACCCAGGGGTCGCATCCATCGAACCAAAGAGCCCCCACGGGGTTTCCCATGGCCCTTAGTCGCATAATTTCGCTAAGGGATGCCAGGCAGGGTATTGCTAACTGGCACCCAAAGTTATCAAACTTCTAAAGCTGAACCCCCAGGACGTATTCACTCACGAGGGCCCAGTGGAGGACCACAAAGATATAAATGGGTGTGACCAAAACCAAGAGGGAGACCTGACACCAGGCAGGAAAATAAAAGTAAAACCCCGCAAGAGGACAACGTGCCCCGATGGAACAGAGCTGGCCGCTATGAGAGGTGAAAACTAGCTGCACAGTACCCTGCGCCCCAACCAGTGACGAAACTACCCCCTTCCTAGAGGCAAACAGTGGTGTATGAAACACCCCAGATGACTCCAAAGGGTGGTCAGTCACCAAGCAGCAAAAGACCTTGTGGAGGTAGATCCCAAGGTGACTGATGGAAGGTGGCCCCAAGCCCCAAGGGCAGTATTTATAAGGCACCTAGGGAAGGGAGGGATCCCTAGGTGCACATAGCCCCGAGTACGTGTAAAATAACTCCTGGCTCGCCGCGCACCACCTCTTAGATAGTACCACACCACAAGGCACAGAACTGGAAAACAGGAGCCAGGGGCACACGACCTTGCCAGTTCACATCAGCCAAGAACTGAAGGGAGGAAAGCAGGCATGGGGGGTCTGGGGCTCCCCCTTCCCCCTCCTGGGGAGGCGGAGGAAGCTACGCAGACAGCGGCACGGTGACGTGGTGACGTCATGCTCATTTGCTTGTTTTTATTTGGGGAATTCTGTCTACTAGTTTGGCTTTCAGTAACAATATTTTAACCAGAATAAGCATGCTTTATTACATGTTTTTGTTTTTTGAATAGATTTGTTTTAGGGCACCTACCTTTCTGGGTGCCTGACCTGGTCGATGGCAGACATAGAATGCTTCCAACCACGCGGGAGTTTCTATCGGCCATTGCTCCTCGTGCCTCTCTGAGGAGGCCAGGTTCAGGCCCGTGGTTCCTGGTAGCCTTTAACTCCAAGCACACTGACTGATGCCAGGGTCTAATACATTCCTATCAGCCTGGTTAGCTCCAGGAAGCCGAAGGGGGTCCCCCAAAAATACGTAATTTAGTCCACAAGAAATTTGCATATGGTTGAAGTCTGTGGAGGCATTAATATAACAAAAATACTGTAATATAAATGTAACACAAATATTTTATTAATAAAATTGGTTAATGACCAACATATTACAAATAAAAAATAATTATTTATGTATACATGTGGCATGAACTTAACCATATTCGTAAGATTTTACTGTAATTAAAACTCAATAAATTTCATCCATCATTTTACGTGGATGGGATACAGCTTACTCTTATCTTTATTGTAACATAAGCTAGTCTTGACACGATACCTTACCATTGAGGGTTTCAGGTTGGGCAAGAAGACGTACATGATTGGACCAAAGTAGAGACATGTCAACAGTGCGATGAGAGTGTCCAATATCCCAAGACAACTGAAATATCCGCTTTAATCTTTTCATATATTCTGGTTCCTTTTCATGCAAGTATGGAATTGCTAGTTTCACAACACGTCCTGCAACACACAAACTCTCTATATGCAGTACTGAATGCTTTCACTCTATCCAGTTTTAATAATTAATAATGGATAAAACTTAACTTTGAATAAAAAAATAAAAATCAGCATTATGAAAGACCCTTGAAAGGGTGTTGAAATAAACACCAAACACATGTTAAAATAAAATATCAATTAATAAATTTGTACTTATACAATAAAGAATATTGAACATGTGATAATGTTACATACAGTACAGTACTGTAGTTAGTTTGTGCACTTGAAAGTTACATTCTATATAAACCCCTTAATTATGTACAAATATTCTAAGCCCTGTGACTAAGAGGAGGAGAAAGTATAATGATAGAAATTAAAGTTGGAATTATTGTAATTTACAGAATTTTATTTTAATTTTACAGTGTCCCTGTGGTAGCATGCTCGCCCCACAATGTGCGAGCCATTTCGGCTGGGTTCAAGACTTGAATAGTGAGGGGTTAACTGTGCACTAATCCTTAACTGTTCGCCCCTGTTCACTCAGCAGTAATAAAGGACATGGGTGTAATCAATTGGTGGGTTATATTTCAGGGAAAAATTAGTAAGGTTAAGAGATACCTTAACCTATCTCTATCTCATGTATCATGAGATATACATGAGATATGTATGTCTCATATCATGAGCTTCAAGAAGGAAAAGCTCTAAGCCTGCTAACAGGAGACAACAGTAGTCTTCTCTATATCCACATGAGAGAGTTTGCCATTTACAAGACAACTCTTAATCTATTACTAAACTTGACACTGGTGGATACATATTATTATTGCAATAATAATAATAATAATAATAATAATAATGAAGATAGAGTAAACTTAATTCAGTTTGATAAAATTCTATATTTTTCAAATACTGTATACTAATTAACCCCACTCCACTCGATTCATGTGACAACTTCGTGGTGCAGGGGTTAAAAAACTATTAACATTAACTGAAAAAAATTAAAATGACAAAATATTGCTAAATTTAACAACTTTCATTTCATATCACAAAGGGTGAAAAAAATTAAACAAACCAGCATTGAATGCTGGTTTGGATCAAGTCCAAAAATGCCATTGAAATGCCATTTTCTGTGTGAGCCCCGGAGGCTTCCTGGAGCTTATCGGGCTAATGTATGTTATATTAGACTAGGACATTAGTTAAGGAGTTCAGACCTACCAGGGAGCAGCGCCAGAACCTGGCCCCTTCAGAGAGGTTTCAGGCAGCAACGGCCCTGGAAAACCCCTTGTGGTTGGGGTTTTCCTTATCTGCCATCGACCGGGGTTAGGCACCCAGAAAGGTAGGAATAACAAAACAAACCCCACATGGTAAAAACTAAAACAAAAAACCGAACAGAGAGATAGAAAATCTAACTCATACTCCTAACTGAGTTTCTAACTGTAGAAACTCCCTACAATCTCAAGGAAACAAGCAAACAAGCAAACATCACACTTTACTGCCGCGCTGATTGTCCGCGCAGCCCTCCCCGCCCTGAGAGGAGGAGGGGGGAGCCCCGGACCAACTGCGCCGGCTGCCAAGCTTCAGTTCGGAAGCTAAGCTTCAACCAACGTGAAAAAACCGCCGACCGGTGGGAGGGAGGGTTGCCAGGGAGCCTCCGGGGCTCACCCAGAAAATGGCATTTCATTACATTCAACGTTGGTTTTCTGTGGGAGCCCCTATGGCTCCCTGGAGCTTCATACCCAAAGAGAAGGAAAAGAAAGGGCTAACCCAGGAGGCGGCCGCCACAAACTCTGCAAAGCGTAGCCGAGACAACAGGTTGCAACCTGCGACCCAAGGCAACAAGAACGCACAGGAGCAGACACGCATAAAGAAAAGGTGGCCAAGAACCTGTGCGACCCTCAAATCCCTGCACCCGAAATGAGCCATAGACGTCACCAACACAGCAGCAAAAGCTGCGAACGTCTGAAAAGCACGGGTGCAAAGACAGACCGCAAGCTGGAAGACTGAAAAACTCTGCGGACGACCTGGGAGACCTGAGCCCTGAAAACAGGGAACGAGGGGAACCGGATCAAACCAAAGCGCATCCCCAGACACGGTATGCAGGTAACGGCAAAAAGCGCAACCAGACAACACAGGACACACCCCCGGCCAAACCAATCAAGCATCAATAACCCAAGAACCCCTCCGGAAAGCAGCCGTCTCGACCGTCGTCAGGATGGAGAAAGGCTGCACATGTACAAATCTACCACCAGTACCAAAGAGCAGAAACCTGAACCGAAGGGGCAACCACAAACTGAGGAGAAGATAAGAAGGCAACCTGATCAAAGACCAGGGCGGCTCAGGCGACGCATGAGCAGGCCGGAGGTGAAACAAAAAACGAGAAAGCGTACGAAACGGGGCAGATGTGACGTCCACCCCGAACGCAAGCCTGAGTGGCTCCGCCAGCGCCGTAAAAAATGAGGCGACAGTAAAAAACATCAAATAACTGTAGTCCTGAAAACCCAAGAAAGGACAAGACAACCTGATGCGAAAGAGACGACAACTACCAACAGCGGGACCATGCGAGAGTCAACAGAGCAAGCTGCTTCGCCAGCACCCCGTCAACACAGAAGGGAACAGAGCCCTTCCTGAAAGAAAAAGTACACATATACACATTATGTATATACACATACACTTATACACACACATGTGTATACACATGTGCACATACACACATGTGTATTATGGGGGCCTCGTAGCCTGGTGGATAGTGCGCAGGACTCGTAATTCTGTGGCGCGGGTTCGATTCCCGCACGAGGCAGAAACAAATGGGCAAAGTTTCTTTCACCCTAAGTGCCCCTGTTACCTAGCAGTAAATAGGTACCTGGGAGTTAGTCAGCTGTCACGGGCTGCTTCCTGGGGTGTGTGTGTGTGGTGTGGGAAAAAAAAAAAAAAAAAAAGTTAGTAAACAGTTGATTGACAGTTGAGAGGCGGGCCGAAAGAGCAAAGCTCAACCCCCGCAAAACACAACTAGTAAACAAAACTAGTAAACACACAGCGTACACATGTACATGCGTACACACACATACACTTGAAAAGAAAAGTACAAGCCGCCGACCAGTGGGCAGAGAGCACCACGCCGGCCAGGCAAAGAAGGCACAAAACTGCATCAAAAGGCCCACCTCGACAACAAAACCTCAAAGTCCCAGCACGACCACAACATGTGCCAAGACCCAAAAAGATCAGTCTGCAAGCCAGGAAGACCCCGGAACTCCAGAAGGCCGAACCGGGTCACACACGAGGAAACAAAGCCCCCTGAACCCACAAAGGGGGCCCAAGAGGAAGAAACCTCTGGAACGAAACCAAAGAATCCAAAGAAACCCAGAATCGAACCAGGGGGAGCCCAAACCAGCACATTTGCCGGCGGAGAAACACCACAGAAAGGCAAAGCACAGACCCCAGACAGAACCCCCAGGGAAACGGTCATAACAGACCGAAAGCCGAGGGACAAGGTGTGGGAGCAAGTGTAATAGCCAGGGACACTGAGCCCAAACCCAAGGGCCCAGACCTAAAACAGACAAAATGGGAAACCCGGTGTAAAATCAACACCCAAACGTTCCCAGAGGAACAGGAAACGGGCAAAAAACACCAGAAAAGCAAAGAAACGACAACAGGAGAATAAAACCCCTGAAAAAGGGTGAAAACTCACCCAAGAAGCTCGCTCGCACACCCAGGCACATGTAAACAAACCGCAACGCTGCCCTGGTGGCCACGCCGGGAAACCGGCAGACGAAAATAGCCACCAGAACAGAGGGCTGTGACCGACGCTAAAGATATGAAAACATGCCAGCAAAAGTGGGAAGCAAGCAGATTGGATGGGCGAAAAACTCCGCCCAAAAGCAGAAAACCCAGGCAGGGGCAAACCGCCCCAGAACAGCTAGCAGCCATCCCCACAGCCACGGGAACCAGCAACAGGGGCCCCGGGGCAGAGCCGTCCTCCAAGCCCTCCGCCCTTAAAGAAAAGGAAGAGTCCATGGGAAAGGCAGCAAGAAAGGGCTGCTGGTAAGACCCAGAAGCCTTGGCAGGAGGAACAGGCTCGTAAACCTCCGTCCCCCAACCCGAACAGGGCAGCCCCCGAAAACTGCCCGAGTCTCGGCCCCAACTAAACCCCACCCCGACCCAGAAACCCGTAGACAGTTCGGAGCGGGGAACAGGGAGGGAAAGGGGTGAATAGCACCTAACCAAAACCTCGGGCGGCCTCGGGGCATCCGAGTGGGAAACCAACCTAGCATGTTGCAGCAACCTAACCTAGCTTGCAACACGGATGCCGCCTGTACTCTGAACAGTAATAACATCAGGAGAGTACTGAAGAACAAGCAGAGAATATCTCTCGCAAGACTCCGGGTCAAGGTGTCAGTGACCCAACAGGCAGCATAACGGAGGTAAAAGTGGTGACTGTCACCCGGAGACAAGGGCAAAGCAACCAACGATCCCGTACAAGATGGGTTGGAGCCCGGAAGACACATTCAATGGTCTACCGAGCCCCAACAGGGGTTTCCAGGGCCCGTAGCCTGACTGCTACGGGAAGCCCGGGCAAGGTGTTGCTAATCGGTTAAGAAACCCAAAAATAACAAGAGGGTAGAGGATAGCACTGAAAATCCCTGTGACGTGTACAATCACGGGGGGCCTAGCAGAGGGCCACCAAACACTACCAGTGGAACTATAGCTAACTGGGCAGACCCCCACCAGGCAATTGAAAATAAAAACAAAAGAAAAACCCCGCAAAAGTACACCGTCTCCAGAGGCAACAGGAACTGGTCGCCGCATAGGTGGCAGGTCACGCAGCACCCTCAGGCACACCAAACACTACCAGTGAAACTATAGCTAACTGGGCAGACCCCCACCAGGCAATTGAAAATAAAAACAAAAGAAAAACCCCGCAAAAGTACACCGTCTCCAGAGGCAACAGGAACTGGTCGCCGCATAGGTGGCAGGTCACGCAACACCCAGAGGCACTCAGTATAGTGTGGAGGAAGAGCTTGGACACGGGGGAG